TGCTTGATCGCACTTCTCCCATCAAACTTTTCACGTTTGTTCCGCGCTTTAGCGCCCTCATGTTTCCGTGAACTTTTCATATATGATATATATATGCATATATGTACATACTTTTTTTTTTTGGGTTTTACATAGATTTTGCAATTTTTTTGTATAATTTTTTATATTTTATATTTGTTTGTTTTTTAAAAATTGTATCTTTTTCTCAACGTATTTATTACTGTTGGTTTTCAAAGTAGCAAAAACTTGACTCTCATATTCTTGCGGTTTGTTGTTTGTTTTGTTTTATTTTTTTTCTCCTGCTTTAGCTCTTTACCTCTCTTGTTTACTTTTACATTTTTTAGTTTTTATTTATTTTAACATTTTTTGCAATTTTTTTGTATTATTTTTTTCATCTTTTTTAAAAGTAGCTCTTTTCTGTTGAAATAACAGAAAAATGATTACATTTGACTTTCATATTTGTTTGGATGTTGAAAAGTGTGAAAAATAAGTGTGTGAAAATTATTTCAAAAAGTGTTTTGTATAGATGTAACAAGAAACTTGCCGATAAGGCTAAACATATCAATCATTTGCCTACTTTTTTCGTTATTTGCATTTATATCATTTATTTTGCATTTTTGCGCATACAAAATAAATATTTCAGTTTAGGCAAAAAAATTAATTTTTGTATAGATATATATTTTTATATATACGTATTGATGCATACATATGCATGCATATATAAATGTAGATATGCACACACATGTATATAAACATATGTATATATAAATATATATATGGAAAATGTTTTGATTTACACATTTTACAGTGTGTGTGTGTATATGTGTTTTTTTTTCTTTTTTCATTTTAGTTTGAAAAATCCAAAAGAATGAAAAATATATACATATATATATAAAAAACATCTGCGCCTGTTGCATTTCTTGTTGTTGTAAGCAGGTAGGTGATTCCCTCTGCGATGTGGTCTTGCGTTAAATGCGTTCGAAATTAAATGATTGAAATTGATATTATTTGTCGTTGCCCTATCGGTATTGAATAGATACTCGGTTTCTCTCTTATTCATTAGCCATTCAAGTTTGTTGTTCATCTTGTGTTTCTTGTTGTGTTATTCGCTGCGTTTTTTCTTTGCTTGAGCATCAATAAGCGAATGCTTGTTCCTATTTTTGTTTAAGATTTTGTGTTTCTGTTTGAATTTTTTTGAAGTTTTTTTTTTTTTTTTTTTTTTTTTTTGTTTGTTTTCTTGAATTGAAAGTAAATGTTGGAAAAAAAACTGCAAAAGGAGATCAAGAAAATTATTAGATAAATATATAAACGTTTAAACTATCATGATTAGCTTACATTTTTGGGTGTCGAGTGATTAGTAAAAATTTTAATCCGCTTTGTTTTTCGAGCTTAGTTAGCTGGCTCGGTGACACGATGCACCTGGAGCACAGCGACAGCCTCCTCCACCTTGGCCTTGAGTGCCTCCTGATCCTCCAGCATGTGCAAAAGCTCAGAGTTCTCAATTTCCARCAACATGCCAGTGATTTTGCCAGCCAATGTGGCATGCATGCGCTCAATCATCGGATACAGACGTTCGCCCAGAATTTGTTTCTGTTCTTGGGGCTTGGCATTAGCCAACAATGAGGCAATGAGCTTCTCTTGGTCTACAAAAATTGAAATAAAAATATATAGATTACAATATATTTGCAAGCTGTTATGAACAAGTCTGTGTAATTACTTTTGCCCTGCAACTGCGATGGCAATGGCTGTGCCTGCTGCATCTGTTGTACTGGAGGGTTGCGCATGTTCGAGGTGTACTTGTAGCTCGCAGCACGCTGCTGAGCACCGCCAGCAATCTGTGCACCGGCGATCTGCATGTTGGGAGCGGCCACCGACTGTTGGCCTGTAATGGCGCGAGCACCGGAGCTGCGCATATTATTGGCCGCAGCGGCGGCAGCGGCAGCGGCGTGTGTGCCCTGCACTTGGGGCTGGGTGCCACGGGCACCGGCTCCGGACTGACGGAACTGAGTGGGCACAGCTCCGGCTGCNCGCCCTGGAAGCCGCCGACAGCGGCAGCGCCAGCAGCGGATGCGGCACCGGCCTGTACACTCTGAACAGCTGTAGCGGGACGCATCTGTTGCTGGGCCCAGCGTGGCGTGCTGCGCATCGGAGTGGTAATCTGTGGGCCAAAGAAACGCTGGCTGGGTGTCATTGTGGGCACAAAGAAGCCGCCAGCAGTGTTTGGCGGGAACAACTGTCCCAACTGCTGCATACGCATGCCAGTCATGTGACGCATGTACTGTGAGGCAAGGTGTGCCTTGCGCTCCTCCTTGCGTTGGGCCAGTGCCACGTACAGGGGCTTGCTACCTATCACACGGCCATTCAGTTCAGTCACGGCACAGGTGGCCTCATTGGGCGAGATGAAGCAAACAAATCCAAAGCCTTTGGAACGGCCCTCCTCGTCGGTCATGACCTTTGCTGATGTGATGGTTCCATACAACGAGAACTCCTTGCGCAGGCGTTCATCGTCAATGGAATCGTCCAGATTCTTAACGTACAAGTTGACGCCAAACACAGACTCGTGACGCTTCTTCTTGAGCTCCTCGAACTTGCGTTTCAGCTCCTGCTGACGCTCAGCCTTCTTTTGGGCACGAGCAACGTACAAAGTTTTGCCATCGCCCATATCCTTGCCATTGAGTGCCTGCACAGCGGCCTCAGCGGCTTCTGTTGTTTCATAGGCCACGAATCCGAAGCCCTTGCTCTTGCCATCTTCCTTGGACATGACCTGAAAATCAATTAAAATTTAAATAAAAGCATGTAAAATATTTGGTATGACGCATTCTGTTAACATACTTTGTAGCTGGTAATCTTGCCGTATGGCTCAAAGAATTCCTTAAGCTTCTCATCATCAAAGTCCTCGGTGAAGTTCTTTACGTACACATTTGTGAAAAGCTTGGCCTTCTCGCCCAGCTCCTTCTCGCGCTCCTTGCGTGGAATGAATTTACCGACGTAGACCTTTTTGCCGTTGAGCAACATGCCGTTCACCTTATCGATAGATGTATTGGCTGCCTCCTCTGTCTCAAAATGCACAAAGCCATAGCCCTTGGAAGTGCCCTTCTCATCGGTGGCAACTTTGCAGCTCAAAATGTTACCAAAGGCGGAGAARGTGTCATAGATGGCCTTGTTATCAATTGCCTTATCGAGGTTCTTGATAAAAACGTTGCCAACTCCGGACCGACGCAATGAAGGATCGCGCTGCGACCACATAATGCGTATGGGCTTGTCGCGAATCAAATCAAAATTCATTGTATCCAGGGCACGCTCAGCTACAAAAAAGGAAAAGGAAAAAATTAAAATGACGCAATTCGAATTAATTCTTGGAAATAACAATAATCAATATTGCACATGGGGTAAATATAAATATTTTAAAAAATATATATAATTAAAGTATGGGCAAGATTATATATTTATACATTATTTGAAATCTGTAACGCTTCTGTTTTTGTAAATGATAATTTGAGACATTTACATGGTAAACTGCGTTATTTGATTTGGCAACTTTGAATCTTAATTGTCTCAAAAAATAATAATTTGACCAACCAATGGGTATAAGTTGCCATATTTAATAGTAATTATATTGATATCTAGGTAAGTGTAACGCTTCTACTTGCGCTCGAACCAGTTGTCCCGGTCGTC